AGTAACATACTATAACGATGCATTTGCTGCTTGATGAAGCCATGCAAAACGTTCTGATCAATGAGGTATGAGAGGAAATGGTCACTTCTAAGAACATTCCTTAGGTGACCGCTGCCTCTGTTTTCTACCACTTGAGCCACAGTGCCTCTTCTGGTTTTCTGGTGGTTAATTGGAGATAAGAGTCTCACAACCTTTCCTGCCCAGGCTGGCTTTGAACCACAATCCTCAGATCTCAGCCTCCTGAGTAGCTAGGATTACAATTGTGAGCCACCAGTGCCTGGAGTATACTGGGTTTGAACTCAAAGTCACAGGATTGCTAACTAGGCATTCTACCACATGAGCCACACCCAGCCCTTTTGCTCTTTTTAATTTTCAGAGTCTCTCATTTTTGACCAAGCCAACCTCACACTGTGGATTTCTAGATCCACATTCCCAGTGATGGGGATTGAAGGCATGAGCCACCACACCCAACTTGTTATTAGATAACTCCTTGCCAGGAATAGCCTGAAGCCACTACCTCCTATCTTCTGCTTTAAGTAACTGGGATTAAAGCTAGGACTTCCTCCAAATTCTTTACAGTATACTTCTAAAGTCGTATAACCATAATGCGGTTAAGAAGCTCTTTTATATAACTTCAATCGCTTTATATATCACTTTCATAATAACAATTTTTTAAGGGAATTCTTGATGGGAAGTGGAGCTGTGGCTCAAGTAGTAGGGCAGTAGGCTTGAATTCAAAAGCTCAGGAACAGTGACCAGGCCCTGAGTTCAAGCCTCAGGACTGGCACAAAAAAAGAAAATACATTGGGTTGGGTGGATAAGACTTATATAACTTTTAGTTCATTAATTTTTCTGCTTTCTTTTATACATGAAGTATCTAATTCTCCATTTAGAATATACACCAGCACCATTCCTACCACTTACTAACTTCAATCAGATTGAAAGAGTTATTTAAGGACTAAAGACTTAGTTTCAGCTGGGCGCCGGTGGCTCACACCTGTAATCCTAGCTACTCAGGAGGCTGAGATCTGAGGATCGTGCTTCAAAGCCAGCCCGGGCAGGAAAGTCCGTGAGACTCTTATCTCCAATAAACTACTAGAAAACTGGAAGTGGTGCTGTGGCTCAAAGGGGTAGAGCGCTTGCCTTGAGCTGAAGAGTGCAGGGACAGTGCCCAAGCCCAGAGTTCAAGCCCCACGACCGACCAAAAAAAAAAAAAAGACTTAGTTTCCTCATAGAAATGTTTAAAAATTTTAAAAAGATAATGCATGCCTGGCATATAGCAAGCATTCTACGAAAGTTAAGTGTTACTTTCAGTATACTTAAAAAAATACTCCAGGCAAACTCTTTGAGGACAGGAAACACGTCTACCCAGAAATGTTATTATTTCATTGTTACAACCCAAACCCATTGGTTCTTCGCACTGCAGACACACATAGCTGCATGCTAAATTCAATCGAATGGAACCCTTTGTGTTGAATCCGATTTTCCCTGGGAGGAAGCAAAAGAGATCCTCATTATGAATGAACACTGAATTCTTCAACACAGAAAAGTAGACTCAAGACATATATTCTTCCCGACTGCTTGGTGGGAAGTCCAGTGCCTCAGGAGTGTCCCCTCAGTTCAGAGAAGACCACAGTGCTCATCCCCCTGCGGCTCAGCCGGGCCACGAGTGCCCCACCCTAGGCCTTCCCCCCATCTTGGCCTTCTGTGCCCACTAGCAGCCAACTTGCTAGGAGTGTCTAAGGCCTAGAGATGAGGCCTAGAAAAGATAATACCTGAGCGTATGTATCCTGGACAATGTCCTGATTAAGAGCTAGTTTTCCCATCTGTGATGGATTCCATCTCTAAGACTGGGCTGAGCTGGGAGAGAACTCAAAGTCAGTGCTAACAGGTGAGAGAGGTTCAGCCAGCCGGGAGAGGCGGCCAGTGATCCCAGATCCAGCCCTGGGGTGGCCTCTGTGATGTCATCTGCAGTGGGGAGCCTTGGAAAGACGAAAGCTTTCTTTTAAAGAAACTTTTCAAATACAGGTATTTGCATGAAAGCATCCCTCTACCCTTCTAGATAAACTAACAAAAGCCCAATTCAAAAGAGGACCTGTTCCTCCTACCACTCCTTTTAATGACTAGAAACAGTTAACAATCCTGGTTTTTTTGTGTTTTTTTTTTAATGATCATGAAAACACAACTCAGAAAGAATCCCATGTTCTGTCTTCCCTCTCTTAACTCCACAAAGGTGTCATACAGTGCCAGCGGCCCTAACACAGGAGACAGACCACCACCCACCAGGCACCCCAAGGACAAAGAAGTGAGCAGGGAAGAGATCAAGCTGGCTTCTGCAGATTCAGTAGAGATAGAGACACCCCAGATAAGAAATGCAAACTAGCCTGAATGAGAACAAATAGCCCCTAGGCCAGTGAGAGTAGATAGTAAGCTGATTAAATACATTAACATATCTAAAGGGGAAGAAGAACACATTTCACTCTCTAAAGGCAGCAGATCCCTTAAGATTGTTTAGGAAAAGGGGAATGTTTGGAGCAAATGCTAAAGGTGTCTACCATGAGACCCTGCCTCCTCTCTAGTGGAAGATAAAGGTTTACTTAATTCTTTATTTACCAGATTTTGACAAGCTAGTAAACTTGCCCAAGTATTTTAATAAGATCACAGGGAGTGGGCTGCCTGTGGCGGACTGGTGTTTTGACAATTATGCTTGTAAGGTTGAACCACAGAGCAAATCCCAAAATAATGTCACCTAAAGCAATAGAAGGTTTCCAGCCTGCCTCAGCCAGGCCTCCCAACTCCAATCTTGAGGTGGCATTCAGCTTTGCTTCCTCCTGAAAATTTCCCATCAGCCTGGACCCCAAAGTTCAGCTGATGATTATGCTCTAAGATGTTTGACTGTAAACATGTCATTTTTCCCCCATTCAGCTGCATTGTTAATCAAAAACATGCAAATTAGAAAAAAAAATTGGCACAAGGTGTAAGTTCAACGGTGTTCTTATTTTCTGCTAGTGTGTGAATAAATTGGAAACACTCCAAAGGTATAGAAATACATATACCTCTGGCGCAGCAGCTCTCTAGGAATTTCATCTTACCTAATTAAGGATCTGATGGGTTATAGAGTAGTTCCTAATAGAGATGAAACAGAAATACATAGAAATCTGGGGATAGTCAACATTTGGGATTGATTAAGGAAATATCTCTGATCCAATATTATACCGACCTTTGCAATATGTCACAGAAGAACATGTACTGTCTGGAGAGACCACTCACAGGGTACTTTTATTTTCTAGTTTTGTTGTTGTTGTTTAGTCAAATAACTGTATTTTTGTTTTCTTTCCCATTGATCACTATAGTAGTCCTGGGTTTGCATCAGAGCTAAGAGCCAGCCCACTGTCATGAAGAATAGAATCTAAAGGTCGGAAGAAAGTTGAAACATCCAAGTTCTTTCTCCATGTGACAAGAAATGGCACAGGTAGGTTATTGTAGCTTGAGGCACCTCTCCAGAGGCAGAGAACCTAGTACTAGAAGCTTATTTCTGTGCAGCATTCCTGCTAATTCCAGATTATAGCAAAAGCCCCTCTCCACACTCTCAATGTCAACTGTCCCCCTCCAGCTATGTTTCAACTGAAATAATGGAGCAAAATCATTTCTCATGATCTTTTGTGACTTATGCACAACAGTAAGAAACTGCAACTACAAGGGCTGGGAAGGTGGCTCAGTGGTAGAGCGCTTGCCTTGCATGCATGAGGCCCTGGGTTCGATTCCTCAGCACCACATAAGCAAAAAGAAAAAAGCTGGAAGTGGCTCTGTGGCTCAAGTGGTAGAGCGCTAGCCTTGAGCTGAAGAGCCGAGGGACAGCATTCAGGCAGAGTTCAGGCCCCACGACTGGACCCTCCTCCTCCCCAAAAAAAGAAACTGCAGCCACAAAATACATCCTATGAAACATCAAGCTCCTCTCCAAACAATGAACTGCAGACATGGGGAGCAGAGAAGAGGGATGGTGACAATAAAAGCAAAGTTCTACTATGTAATTTGGACTTCCTGTCTTTTCTTCCACTCAGAGCCCTGGTATTTGCTTGTTGTGCTGGCTAGACTGGGGCTCCACTACTTAAGCCATACCTCCAACCCAGATTTTTGCCAGTTATTTTATTTTTTTAATTGGGAAAATTGTATTTTTTTCATTTTTTATTTATCTTTAGTTGTAGAGGATTTCAATTCCACCTGTCAATTTGTGACTACAATGCATCTGATCAATGTCACCTCCTTCATCATCCCCCCCATGTCTCCCAACCCCACCCATCCCAAGTTACCTAGCTCGTCTTCACATATGTACATTGAATATACGGACTCCGTTCACCCACACTTCTTCTCTCCATTGGTCTGCCCCCTTCCCTTGGCCTCCTCTTCTCATACAAAATACAATCGAGCTCCCTGGAATTCATTTTGTTAAACTGTAAGTTCATTGTTCCAAGGTGATACAGCATTGGAATCGACCCCTTGCCTACATTAGACAATACACTTGTGTACATAGGCATATGATCCTGTGGTTATTCTGGGGATGGAGTCTGCAGGGCTTTTCTGCCTAGGTGGGCTTTGAGCGTTGCTCTGCTTGATCTCAGCCTCCTCAGTAGCTACGGTTATGGGTGTGAGATACTAATGTCTGCCTGATGGTCATTTCCCAATTGTGACCGCTCCTCATTTCACACACTTCATTCTGTGACTCTGGACGGATCTCCAAGGAGACATTTGTTGAAGAACTGCAGTTAATACGGCCATACAGACCTTACATCATCACCTACCACAGCTGATTTCCCTCAAGCCCAGTGGAGATTTTGCTAGGAAAGGGGACAAAGCTGCTGCTTCTCTCATGAACACCCGTCAAAGGGAAAGGACTTGGAGAGGCCGCCTGTCCCCAGCCTACCAGCTCAGCGGCCACGAACAGGAGCAAACCAGCACTGTGACGCACAGGGGTGCCCCAAAGCGGTGAGGGCCTTACTTACGGACACACATGTCTCTGCTTTCATAAAAGCCCGGGCAGCACTGGGATTTGCGCCGGTACATGGTTTTCTCCCCATGGCGGTAGGCTGTCCGATAACTGATTCTACATAGAGGAAACAAATCACATTGTTAGTTCTGCTGATCAGCAACTGGATCGGACATAATTTCTAGTTTATGGAAGAAAGAGCCGGATGGATACTAGTCCACGTAACTAAAAGTATCACAGCCACCGAATCAAACGCAAGTTTGTTCTTTTCTGTTAGTGGCACCATTCTAGGCACTGAGAACACAGCAGTATGCTAAATAAGTTAGTTTTCTCTTGCAAGGAACTTAGTTGGCTAGGAAAGACAGATCTGGTTGCATTTGTTGACATGTAAAGCCACCAGACTGACTCGCAAATATAATCCTAGCTACTCAGGAGAATGAAACTGGGATGACCAAGATTTGAGGTCAGCCAGGGCTAAAACTTCTCCAGACTTCAATTCAACCAAGAGCTGGGTACAGTGGCATGCATCTGTCCTTCCAGCTATTTGGAAAACTGAAATAAGGAGGCTCATGGTCTCAGAATAGCCCTGGCAAAAGAGCTTGCAAGATTCCTATCTCAACAAAAAAGCTGGGCATGGTGGCATGCATCTGGCATCCTGCTATAGCAGAAAGTTGCGAATTGGGGCTAGCATGGGTCCATGCTAGTCTGGGAAAAGAGTAAGACTCAGTCTCAAAATTAACTAGGTTCGACACATGCTGGCAATCTGGCTTACGGCTAGGACAGCAGCTATCCCTCAACTACTGTGGGCTAATGCATGAATGCATTTTCTCAGGTGACTGATACCTCTGAATGCTAGACCCCATTGCCAGGCAGCCACCCTCGGCCAGGTCTGAGCTTCTGTTACCTGTGCCTCGTGCATTTAAACCAGTTTAAGATGTCAGTGCAGCTGGTGTAGTAGATCTGATCGAAGGGATGTGGGTAGGACTCTTGCACAGTCACAGAGTAGCTGGAAAGAAATGGAAGAAAATGGAATCAGTATTTCTCCTTTTACATTAATGATAGAATCTGGAATGAAAAGCAACTGAAGACTAAATTAATTTCATTTATAGCTCCATATCGTGTGTGTGTGTGTGTGTGTGTGTGTGTGTGTGTGTATACTGGAGAAACACAGACCTTGCATCCAACAGGCTTGCTACATCCTCAGCTCTGCACTGATGTACATAGAATTATGCTTTTACAGGTCTTTGAAACACACACACACACACACACACACACAGATCCATATTAATAAGATAGTTAAAGAGTTCATGCTAAATATTTCAAAGGAAATTTCTTTCACTCTTCATTATCAACCCTAATGTTCCCAAGTGTCACTATAATTTTTTCTTTATTTAAGCTTCTTTCCCTCATCCTAGGGCTCCAGGGATAATAAAGACCTTTTACAGAAAGCTGCTACTCTGCATGCACATAATCAGGTTACCGAGTAAAGAGACAATTGGAGTATTTATAACAGAGTACATTTTTGCTACTCTGAAAACTCAGAATGAACACATTTCTCTTGTGGGACTTTGGAATCATTTGCTTTCATGTGCTTGTCCTACTTCTTGGGCTGTAGAAGAATACACACTGCATAGAAATAAAAGAAAAAAAACTGTAGGAAGTTTTTTAAACTCAGTTCTAAACATAACGGCCAGTCACTTGAAATATTCATAGCAATGGTTTGCCACTACTTAAACATTCTATTTTCTATTACAGTTCCCCAATAGCTTCTTGTTAGAGAAAAGACATGCAACTCTGTGGGCCTGGGTAGGTGAGAGGAAAATGTCCATGAAATATGAAAAACGGTCAACGCTGTACTCCATAACTTTCAACAGTCTAATGCATACTCAGGAGCTTAATATCTGCCTACAGGAAACCCCAGAGAATCTTCTTCCCTACACAATTATTCTATTTGCTTTCAATCTCTAAATGAGTTCTACTAAAATCCTCACATTAACAGACAAAATGGGTCATAAATATAACTCATTTGCAGCAAATCAATAGCCCAAGTTAATTCAATGGGAATAATGCCTAGAAACAGTATGGAAGAAATGAGGAGGGTGAAACTAGCATGAAGAATTGAGGTAGACATAATGGAGAATCTGGTGCTCGCCCCACAAACACTAGGTTCTTTTCTGTTGCTGGTCCCTCATAGTTATTGTAGTCAGGGTTTTGATGGGTGATACAGGAGACAATCCCACTTTTCATATCTTTTGTGTTTTGTTTGTATCGTTGATAGATTGTCATTTGATATCATCCCATACATGTGCGGCAGAAGACACAGGCCCAACTGAGATCACTGAGTTAGGAGAAGATAAGGTGGTAATTTTGGTCAAATGCTAAAAATCGGAGTGGATGTCAGCAAAGAGCCTCACTTCCCTGAGTCTTGATTATTTCATTTTAAAATGTGAGGGTGAGAGATGATGTTGAAGAAGGCTTTCTATTTGACATTTTAAATGACTACCTTTTATGACCCAATGGATGACCCCAGATGCTCCTTGAAAATACATGTTCAAACAAGGGTAGAGCAGACAGCTGCTTGTATTCTGCCAGATAACCTGTCTTGAGCTATATAGGGCTAAAGTGTTAATGTTCTTGGAATGTCATGTTGCATGAACTTCAGAACTTCAGTGGTGACCTGAGGTTCAGACTGGGGCAAAGGCCAAGACTCCTTACCAATATGTTTTTTTCTTGCTGACCAGCTGCTTTTACATAACCAGATCTTGAGGTCTTCAGTATTCTGTCCCTGTTACATTTCTAGTGGAGAAGAGTGATCATCTGCTAATTGTGGGAGAGCTACACAGGTCAGGTCCTAGATGACCTCTAAGCTCTATGGGAATGAAAAGAACCCACACTAAACTAATACTAGTTAGGTAAAACACACATGCTACAAGGCTCCACATGTGAAGTAAATTAGTTAGAAGCAGACCTGATGTGAGAATCTCAGGAAATTGCAAAAGCTGTGTTATGATCTTCAGGTCTATTGATCAATGGATCCTGGACAATTTTATTTGCAGTGGGTTGGGGAATGGATTCCATAACCCAATGAAAAACTGTTTTCACTCATTTCTAGCAACTAGGAAGATGCCTTTCATAAGAGGAAATGTTAGAGTACATTAAATTTCCTCTTCCTGCCACTTACCGCTCACCAATAATGCACACTTGCAGGATGCTGTATGGGTAAAAATAAAGTCATCAAAATAGTATTCTAATTAAACAAGAATTTGGAGCAAATACTATGCAGTTCTAGCCCTCAATGAGCCTTCTACCTGAGAAAGGTCAAGGCATAAATGGTTAATATAACATGCTATGACTCTGGAGTTTGTGGCCCACTGGTCAAGTACAAGTACTTGCCTAGCAAGTGTATAGCCCTGGTTCCATCCCCAGCACCGCGCCCCCCCCAAACACTGAAAACAAAGATAAAGCTCTAGGTGTGGGGATAGTCGAGTATAAAATCCACTATGTTGAGCAGTTCTCCTCAATGTTGACTTTCTCATTACAATTTTCACAATAAAGCCCCCTTCAGCACTGACTGAATATACAGTGCTTTCCACATTCATCAAAAACTGATCCTTTCAGTTTGGTGTGTGAGAGAAAGGTGCTAAGTCTTTTCAACTCAAATTTCTTTTCTTTTCAGTTAATTTTTATACTTTTTTCCCCTTTCCATATAGTCTTTCTCTCCTTTTCCTTTTTTTAAGAGCATTGTTAATCATGTTAATAAATTTGGAAAACAAATACCAATAGCAGTTTGTTTATCTTTGCAGCTTCTAGAGGGTCTCGTTTCTTTGAAGATTTTTTGTTTTGCTTTGCTTTGTTTATTTTTTGTGCTATGAATGTGCCATGCATATGCTTCTGAAATGTTGTGGGGGTTTTGGCCGTACTGGGGTTTGAACTCAGGGCCTTACTCGTGTTAAACAGGAGCTCTCCCGAGTAAGCTACACCTCCAACTGCTTCTGAAACATACCAGCATATCATTATCATTTTTCCTATGGTAGTAAATGTCTTCAAATTATGACTGCCAGATACTTTGTAAGTGATTACACCTAATTTGCCAATAAGCACCCATCCTCAGAAAATCTGGTTGCCATTTTTTAAGAGGCCCGTTTGATGGAAGGAAGCTATGTGTTTGTATCGTGAAAGAAAACTTTTCAAACAAGGCTGCCTCTTCTGAGCTCCATAAACTGCAGCTTTGGCAGGTGTCTAGCGGCTCCTTAAACTTCAGTAGCTCCACCGATAATAGTCCATGGTCATTGGCAACTGCTCTAGACGTCATAAGGTGGGAAGAAGGCACCTCTCCGCTGCCTGGTCTACTTCCGTTTCCATCACCAGTGAGCAGCATTGAACTTCCAGTGCCAGGCTGTCTGGAGTCATCAAGAGTCCCAGCACCTCCAGACACTCTTATGCCTCTGATCCCCCACCCAGATATGCTACAGGTCTCTCAGAACCTCCAACATAAAACGTAAAGGCATTTAATCCCAGTTCTGCACAACTTTCGCCATTGGGATGCAAAACCCCATATTTTCTGCTTGTTTGTTTAATCCTCTCAAACACACTAAAAACATATCATCATCATGATTTTATCCTCTTAAGTGTTATCAGGGAGAAAACCCACCAAGATTTAATTTAAGGTCAAAGAACCGGAGGTGGTGGGAGGGGAGCCATCAGCACTTGGCCACACTCCAGAGTGGTTAATTACATTTTATCTGCCTAAATTATCTTGTTACTTTAATCAGCTATGGTAATAATCGTCATTTCTTATCTTGGCTCGCTTCAGGACTGCTGATTCAATTACTACCACTTCTACATCAGTAAGTGAGGGTTGAGCGAAGAGCAGCTTCTATTCTTTTGTGAGGTCTTGAGAGGAATCCCTGCTATCTGGGAAAGCTTAACCTTTCAGAATAGATAAAAGGAGTGGGGAGAAGGAACCAGTGACTCCCAGCATTATACATCTTCCTAAAAGATTCTCTGCAGAGATGGTTTCATTACTAAGGCCTCATTCGTTTGTAATGATTTAATTTGATGCTTTTTCATTTAATTTTATGTACAATTGTTTTTGGAATCATGCTTGCTGCATTAAAACAAGGCATGACTTTATTGAAAAGAAATGTCTGGATATCAGCAGGGATGTAGCTAGAAGGGCTGGAGATGCTGTAACAGTTACAAAGATGATTAGTGTGTGATCTTCCATGACTTTCATATGAAATGTCCCCAAAAGGCTCATCTGTCAAAGACTTGGTCCCAAGATGGTGGCACGATTCTAATGGGATCATGAGGGCGCTCATTTCATCAATAGGTTGATCCTTTGAAGAATACATAGCTGAACAGACCATTCGGTGGTGGGAGCTCGCTGAAGAAGGTATTTCACTGGGGAAGGGCTTTGAAAGGTGCATCTTAGCTCTAGACTCTCAATTGCCCTGTACCTCCCAGCGGCCATGAGGTGAGCAGCCTGTCTCTGCCAAGGCCTCCTGCTGCGAGGGACTGAGACCTCCGAAGCCACAAGCCAACACTAACTCCGAAAGGTTCATTTTCTTTCTTTCTTTTTGCCAGAACTGGGGCTTTAACTTAGGACCTGGGCACTGTCCCTGAGCTGCTGTTTTGCTCAAGGCTAGCACTCTACCCCTTGAGCTTTTTCTGTGTATGTGGTACTGAGGAATCAAACCCAGGGCTTCTAGCACGCTAGGTAAGCCCTCCACCACTAGGCCACATTCGCAGCCCCTGAAAGGTTCATTTTCTTTGGGTAATGTTCTCTCAGTGATGAAAATAACTGACCACACCTGGTCCCACTCCTCAAATCTTATTTTATACAATTAACACCACAAATTATGCAGAAATAAATATATAATTTTAAACATCTATTTCATCTATAGCTTAAAGTTTTGTAATGAAGAAGAAGTTTGTAATGAACGAAGAAGTTTTGTAACTGAAGGAGGAGGAAGAGGAAGAGGAGGAAGAAGAAAAAGAGAAGGA